GATCATTTTAGTCTGAAATATTTTTCCAAGGAATAGATCTCATAGTCGTTATAATATCTTGAAAATTTCAATAAAAAACAGATTTGTTCGAATTTTTTACAAAATTCCAACTTCGTTATCTTGACACAGAAGTTATCAGTTGGAAGAATTCGGTTAGTGAGTAATCGATAACATTGTTTTCTATCTTTTCATATTTTTAGATTAATAATGCATAGCTGAATTCAAATGATTCTAAAAAACTACAATATCTCAAAGAAGAGAAGTGCAGGTTTGAAACTTTTTTTATTATAAAACTTGACTAAAGATTTTCAGGATCGAAGAATGTAAACCTCTTATTCCTTAATCATTCTTTTACTTAATCTTCAAGAAATCCAATAAGGAAGTAGTTCATATATTATAACAAGACGTTAACAAAAGCGTTGCTAAGGCATTTGTTATAGCCTATGACGTAGGGAATATTATAAAGGATGTCTGTCACGTATATAGATGCTGGACTTATCCTCTTTCAATATATCTAGTTGTTCAATAATTTTTCAAATATCTTTAAAATTTGTTAATAAAACTAACCAGCTGTTGTTTCATTAAGTAATCGAAGACAATTCCAACCAGCTATTTGTGCAGCATCAAGCATTGCTCGTCTTTCAGCATCAGTAAAAAAACAAGGTACCTTAAAAAAAAAATGTTTTTTTTTTTTTTGTTCTTATGAAACTTTATTATTAAAATTCTTACTCCAATAACACAATCAATAGCTTTTGTCTTTAATTCAGTATCAGTTATTTGTTTTATTTTTGTAAACATAATTCCAGTTATTTGTTCAGGTGTAAATCGTTTACGCTCATTAAGATAATCAACCTAGAATTTAAAAAATGAGTTATTTTTGTTTTTTTTTTATTATATGTTCATACCTCAATATTCACTGAACCACCATTTCCTTCAACAATTGCATATGAATTAAGTTCTTTTTCTTTTTGTGCAAACGAATCTTGATATTTTCGACCTAATAAACGTTTAAAATTACAAATTGTATTTTTTGCATTTGTAACTTCCATTGCTTTTGATGATTGACCCATTGAACGATTCGATTGACTAAATGTCACACACGTTCTAAACGAAATTTTTGCGTTTAAAAAAACAAAACCATAAAAGAAAAGAAGATCTTTTTTTCAAACATACGGTGTGAGACGATCCGAATATTCATTTGCAATTATTTCAACACCACCGGCACGAGCAACACCGATGTATGTTGAAAAATTACCCATATCAATACCAACAACAGCCTAAAAATTCGAATCAAAGAAAAAAAATTTAAGGATATATTTTTAAAAAGGATATATTTACCATGTTAATTATATTAATATGAAAGTGTTATGGAATGAGAAGAGGAGAAAATAGTAGTGCAAATTGAATCTAAAATTAATTAAATATTAAAAGGTAATGAATGTAAAGAAAAATTGACGTTTTATAAAGAAACCTATGGACTAACTAGCGGCACATTCGGAAGAAGAGAAAAAAATGAGAAATATAGAGAATGGGGAGCAAAGAAGAACTTTCTCGACCATTCGAGAACAACCTAGTCTATTTGTTCTGTAGATAATGGTATTGTCTGGATCATTAATGATTCATATGTAGGAATTTTCATAGGAAGAGTGTGACCTCTAGAGGAAAGATACAAGCAAATAAAATATCATTGATAAGAATTTCGTTCGATTTGTACGAAATGATTGAATTCATTCTATTATACATATTGTAACAAAGTCTAGACTAATTGTTTGTTAATGTGTTTTTACAAAAATTAAACATTAATGTGTCGTTATATGATGATAATTTAAGAACGTTTCTTTCGTGTAGTGATTACGTATATGTGTGGAAATAATGAAATATAAAGTCTTCGAAAAAAAAAAATTCTGAGAATTTATCGAAAAGTAAAATGATAAAAACTTTCAACACCTTGTTAGTTGACTTCAATTCATTTTTAAGTGATGTATACTGACAATCAAAGGTAAAGTTATCTTGTTGTGATATGAATAATTTTTAAATACAAAAAAAAGTCCTCTCGTAATTAGAGATATATTCAGATATCTGAAAAAGGAAATCTCCGAAATTATTATAAATTCTTATAGAAATTTCCGAAACTTTACAAGATACCAGTGATGCAAAAATCATGCATGAACAAACTCGAAAGTACTTTGTGATTTCATTTCATGAGATAGCATTTATTTTTTCTCTATTAGATTAAAATTTCTATTCTTGATAAATCATCTAACGTGATACTATACATTTTTCTATTAAGTTTGTAGAGCGTTGAACGGTGCATCTGACTGAAAAAAGACCATCAAAATACATTCGATCACATAGAATCAAATAAAAAAATACTGAGAGATCCATTTTAATTTGAGCTGTTGTTTAAAGACAACATCATAGAACTTTTCTGAACATACAGATAGAAAGAGCTTTCGATGTAGATTCTGTATAAGCTGTTTTCAAGTTGACCCACACATGTTTTAACTGATGAAAAGTGAACTAATATTTGTGCAGGTACTTTTGCATCATCCATTATCAGATAGTATTCAAACAAAAATAGAAATGCAGAACATTCAAAGTTCTATCTAACTACATATGATGCAATTGCTATGAAATATAAAAAACCCGATGACTCTTTTGCAAATTTCATTAAATTTGGGCAATTATTTTGAAAAACGGCAATGTCTTTTACTTTGATAAAAATATTTCACAAGTTGTTTTCTTTTCAAGTCAATGATGATTATAAAAAGGAACTGACGTTGTATTTGTCGTACGAGTGATATAATGCGTTTAGTTTTTTTTTATTTCTTTCGTTTCTTACTTTAAGCAGGCGACAAACGTATGTGTATGCAAACACCCATTTCAAGGGTAACCATAAAAATGATATGTTGAGTCAATATATAAAAGAACTAGATAAAATTTAATGTCCGTTATCATCAATTGTAGAAATATTTCTTTTTATTCTTGTGTTTATTTGAATTTTTAATCAAGAATTTCATAGTAAATAATAATTGTATTAAGGACTTTTATGTAGTATTTGATTCACAATGATTGATAATAGATATTAATCTATTCTTTTTTGATTTTATTTCATGACAAATGAGAGTAATAAGACAAGAAAAAGAATCATTTTGTTTATAAGAAAAATAAACATTAATATTTGTCAATTAAAAAGTTTTACCTTACGAAAAAGAATAAAAAGATCGGTTAATTATATATAACACTTCGTATTAAATTTTATGAAAGTTTTTCTAATGAAAATTGAACCAGAGAACCTGACAGAATAGTTTGCTGCGTCCTGCATTGCATTCTGCAGAACATTATCATTCAGTCATCCTGTTTTTCAGAACGCAGGGCAAACCATCAAAAAGTCCATTTCGATAGGGTACACATCTTGTAGAACGATTTTTTCATTGTATTTTTGACAAGGATAAAAACTTGTCTCCATACGAGGTACGATCTCAAATATCATAGATATATAATTATACAAAAGTCATTTAAAATATAATCATATTAATAAACTTTGTTACAAATTTTCCAGAAGAAATGAACAACAAAAGATATTTGACTTTTATTGGATTCAAACTGTAATCAATACAAACAGTTAGACAATGAGAATAAATAATATGTTATCAATTTGATCTGATGATATGTGTCTATCTTTGAGTAAATATCAATCCAGCTGACGAGGGAAGATTCCCAAGTGTGACGCGCCGTTTTGAATCGGACCTATATTAGTTTGTAGAGCTCGATGAGACTAGACGAAGCCTAAAAGGGTTCGTCCCCATACGCTGTCTTTCTCGAGTTATGATCGTTTTACTGGATTTTCGACTATTGACAAAGCATCTATGAGAAAAATGAATTACAGGATTTTGATCTGACATTTTGCCCACAGATAGGCCTCGTAGTTCTAAAAAATTCAGGCCAAAAGAATATTCTCTTCTTGAGATATTGAGTGTTGAAAATACTTGTGTTTCTGATATTTTCTTGCGATACATGATCGTTTCTTGGATACCAATATCTCAAGAAGAGAATATTCTTTTGGGCTGAATTTTTTAGGACATTCTAAAGACCATGAGGCCTATCTGTAGGCAAAATGTCAGATCAAAATCATGTAATTCAATTTTCCCATATATGCTTTGCCAGTGGTCGAAAATCTAGTAAAACGATCATAACTCGAGAAGGATAGCGTATGGGGACGAATCCTTTTTGGACTCGTCTAGTCTCATCGAGCTCTACAAACTAGTATAGATCCGATTCAA